TATATTGCTATAAATCATACTTCTTTTTTTTTTCTGTCCTTTTTGAGACCGGCCGCACCGCGCTCAGCCAGTGAGCGCACCGGCCATCCCTATATAGGATCCGAACCCGCGGCAGGAGCGCTGCTGCGCTCCGAGCGCCGCACTCTCCCGAGTGCGCCATGGGCTCGGCCCATTATTCTTTATGCCCCCCTCTGCCTCCCCTCTGCCACCTCTGATAACCTTAGATTTCTTCTCTCCTTCTGAAAGAGTAATGGTTGTTCTGTTGATTTGTTGCCTTGATGATCTGGCCAATGCTGAAAGGTGTGTTCAGGTCCCCCACTATTATCATAGAGCAGATGTTTCTTTTGTCACTCTGGAATGGGCTTTGTGGAGAGAGACATCCTCTTCTTTTCTTTGTTCTCCACTGGTGACTCTTCTTGTGTGTCAATGCACTCAAGTGGCTGGCGGACCATCTGCATAGTGGTGGTGTCATCTAGCCACTTTTGTGGCAGCTGTAGCTATTGTGGTGACTGTGGTGGGCCACCCACATGGAAGTGGTGTTTTTGGCATGCTTCTTGCCTGGTTGCAGGAGGAGGGGTCAGTCCCCAGCTCCACCTGTTTTACATTCTAATATGTTGTTGTGGAGCAGTTGAGTGGGAGGGGTAGGGGGAAAAGGGAAGGAAATGGGATGGGAGAAGGAGGAAGGAGGAGGGAAGGGATTGAGGCCTGTGGCACCCCCTCATTCCCACAGGGGAGACCAGGGGGCTTCCAGTGGTGGCTCAGTCCTTGACAGGATGAATGCAGGTGTCAGGGGTGTGGCCAAAGCCCTCAGCCCCCCACTGCCCCAGCTCAGGAGCCCGGAGTGTTTCCTGCAGTAACTTAGTGGTCATTGCTGGGCTGGTTGCAGGTGTTGGGGAGGGGGCATGGCTGAGGCCCTTGGCCCCCCATCCCCAGCTTGGGAGCCCAGGGCACTTCCTGCAGCAGTTCAGTGGTTGTTGCTGGCTGGTTGCAGGTGTCAGGAAGCATGGCTAAGGTCCCCTGCACCCCCCATTCCTGGCTTGGCGGCCCAGGGGGCTTCCAGTCCTTCTAGGTGTTATAGGTGTTCTTTGGTGAAGTGAGACCTTTACTAGTTAATATCAAACTTTGTCACTGGCCTGTGGGTATTTTGTTTTTTCTTTCAGTTCTGTGTTCGATTATTCACTGTTCTCACCAATTAAACTCTGCACTGGAACTAATTTGTTGTCTTTTGCTTATTTCTAAAATGGGGGACTTCCTATGGGGACCAACACTTGAGTCCTATAGTTGAGCTAATTTGCTGCTTTGCTGCTGAATTCCTGGGGAAGGCTTTTTGTGCGGCTCAGGTTTTAATGGTTGACTTTGTAGGTCTTTCCCGGTCTCATGAGATCCAGTACACCTGGGTTGTGTAGAAACTCTGGTCTGGGCCTGAGACCTTTCAGCAAACTGTTCCCCCTGCAGTTCTATATTCCTGACCAGTCTACACAGAGTGGTCCTGAGCTGACTGGGGGGCAGATGAGCTGTCCTTGCTGTGCCCCAGTATTTCCCCGATGGGCCCATCTCCACTACTGTCCTCACTACAAACACTTTACGTGGGACAGACCATGTGCTGGTCCCTTGTGATGACTCACCAGCCTCTGAATGACTCCTTTTTTCAGTTGTTTGTGGCCCCTCATTCCTATGTGGGTCCACAGGAACCCTATTAGTGGTATTGCTGGCCTGGGGGCCACCAAAGCCCTCTTCTCCCCTGCCGCCTCCAAGCAACTTCAAACAAAGGGCACAGATGCAGCTTTTGCCAGTTCCTGCTCCGTGCGCTCAGCAGGGCCAGCCTTGAAGTGGCCAGGGCTCAAAATGGTAGGAGTGGTCCTTTCTTTCTCTCATTGTGGCTTCTCCTGCCTTCATGCACTCCGTAGGTCTCTCCTCCTCTTCCCCTGAGCTCTAGCGACCCAAGCTTGGCTGTAGTTGCTTTTTAATAGTTGTAAATTTGTTGATTTGTGGGAGACGGTGACGCTGGGGACCATCTATTCCACCAACTTGACCGGAAGCCTAGAGCTTCTGAAAGAAGAGATACAGGTGGGGCTGAAAATAAGACAACTGGTTAAAAATGTTTGAAGTGATAAAACTTTTAAAAGACAATAAAACAGAATGTGTTTATGACTTTATAATGGGGAAAGATTCATAAAGAAGACACAAAGGGACTAACCATAAGGAAAAGACTGATAAATTCAACTACACAAAAAGAACTCTTCATCAAAAGACACCATAAAGAGGGTCCAGCCATGGCTCACTTGGGAGAGTGTGGTGCTGATAACACCAAGGCCATGGGTTCGAATCCCCTTACCAATCATCTTTAAAAAAAAAAAAGACACCATAAAGAGAGTACAAATGAAAACCACAGAGTAGGAGAGAAATACTTGAAATACATGGAACTAACAAAGGACTAGTATTCAAAATACATAAAGGATTCCTAGCAATAAGAAAATCAATAAGAAAAAGAGATAACTAATTCTAAAACTAAGGAACACACTAAAACAGGCACTTCACAAAAGAGAAAATCCAAATAGTTGATGAAACATATGGAAAGCTACTCAATGTAATCTTTCATTAAGAAAAAGCAAAGAACAGATTGGCATTAAAAGACAAAGTGTCAGGTGTGCATCCCCTATAACCAGAAATTCATCAAAGGGTGCACACCCTAGAGAAATCCACACAGACGTGCATGAGGATACATGAGCAAAAAGGCTCAGAATATCATTCCTCAAAACAGCCCCAAGGTGGAAACAACCCAAATGTCTGATAACAGTAGAATAGATAAATAAGTTGTGACATAGTCACTCAGTGGAATTCTGTACAACTGTTATGTACAATAACACAGATGAAATGCAGAAAAGTTAGAAGAAGCAACACACAAAAAATGCAGACTGCGATTCCATTTATATGATCTTTAAAATTGTTGGTAACACACCGACTAAGATGTTATGGGGAAAAAAACCCAGAAAATAACAAGCGTTGGTGAGAATGTGGAGAAATTGGAACTTTTGTGCTCTGCTGGCAGGAACATAAAATGGTGCAGACACTGTGGAATACAATATGTCTGTTCCTCAAAAAAATTTAACATAGAATCGCCATTCGATCCAGTAATTCCACTTCTGGGTATGTACCCAGAAGAACCGAAAGCAGGGACTCAAAGAAATGTTCATACACCCATGTTCATAGCAGCATCGCACACCGTAGCCAAAAGGTGAAGGCAACCCAAGTGTTTTTCCATGGATGAATGCATGAAAAAATGTGGCACATCATTCCATGGGATACTGTTCAGCCTTAAAAAGAAAATTCTGACACATGCCACACACAACGTGGATGGACTTTAAAGACATTATGGTAAGTGAAACAAGCCAGTCCAAAAGGACAACTATTTTATGATTCCACATATGTGAGGTACCTGGAGTCGTTAAATGAACCGGAGGCAGAAAGAGCAATGGTGGTGGCCAGGGCTGGGCAGAGGGGACAATGAGGGGCTCGTGTTCAGTGGGCAGAGGGCTTCAGTACTGGGAAATGGGAAAGCTCTGAAATGGGTGGTAGTAACGATTGCACAACAGTGTCGCTACTTAATGTCACTAAACTGTATACTTAAAAATGATTAAAATGGGGGCCAGCCCGGTGGCGCACTGCTACAGTGTGCGGCTTGGGAGTGCAGCGGCGCTCCCGCCGAGGGTTCGGATCCCACATACAGACCGGTTCCCGCTCACTGGCTGAGCGAGG